AGGACTCGCCGCAACAAAAGGACATGGAAGCCACCCACCGAGTGGGGAAAATGAGAACAGGGTGGGAAAAAGTTTTCAAAATAGAACGAAGGTTGCCAAGTTGACATGTTTTTCATGTAACGATTTTATTATCTATCCCGACTGGTGGGTCTGATTGCCTTTTTATCTGAAACATTATTCAAATTTTTAATCCAACTCTCGGTAGACCACTTTTAAAAACACAAAGCTTATTAAATGATTTTTGCTATGCAGCTCTCTGCCTTCGTTAATTAATTATGCGATGACTGGATTATGCTGCGCCTCATCCTGATTTATGTATATCGTATTCCTTTGCCCACTTGGCTTGCACTTGGCTCTTAATTCGCTCTCTCATTGCATGCTCAAGTGGCTTTTATCCTAATATTTCCTCCACCCACTGGCCCCTTGCTAATTGCGCTTATTACGCTGACAAGAAAATGGCAAGCGAATAAAATAAAAAACCTCTGCCAAATGGGAGGAGAAGGAAATCTGAAATGAGCCATCCAATGGCTTTGCGGCCTTATCGTATTTGTGCATCTCTGACTTTTCTTGCTGCAACTGACACATGCACGAGAACATTTTATTGTTTCATACTTTGGGCCTCCCCTGCCCTTCCCCTCCGCATTTTCCTCTATTTTCTCTGCATTTTCCCCCTTATTAACTCTTGCAACTGCGCGGTTTGTGCTTCTTCGCTCGCGGAAAACATATCTGCAAGTGCACAATTATCGGTTAGTAGTCGCCGCAGAGCTAGAGAATAGAGGTACGCGAAAAAGTTAACAGAGTGCCTAACTAGGTACTAAAAATATTTTTATTAAAAAACCAAAGGTGTCAATTTTGAACTGTGCTGTGAATATCCAAATAAAAATGAGTATTTTTAAGAGTGGCCAGTTCTTGTTTTTAGTTTCTGTATGACCATACCAATCAATATGATTTCAAATCAAAGATATTTTTAGTATATTCACTTTTTCTTGCCCTTTCTGATAAGTTCAAGTAGCTGCACTTTGATAGTTCAATTTTTATTTGACATGACATGACGTCCAACTCCGAGCCAAGCTCCAGATTAGCTGGCTTCATCAGGAAAATGCCAGAGCCTCTCCAGCTAGGCAGGGAAATTTGCAATTCCATTGCCTGGGCTGTCAGATGGCAGAAGTGAATTGGCTGCGGCTGTAAAGTAACCAGACAATCTCCTGTTATTCCCTGCTACTTCACATATTTCCCCCTGGCCTGCCGAAGCACCAAATTTGATTGCGACTTTATGATTCTGGTTCAGATTCAGATACAGATTCAGATTCAGATTCCGATTCAGATACAGTAACGGCTGCTGCATTATGCAGTGCCTGCAGTGTGTGTGCCGTTGTGCCGTTGTTGAGGGGGCGGTGGTGGGCAGCCCATGGAATTCTGTGACATATAAGCTGGCAGTTCCAGGTAGGGAAAATCATTTAACATGGAAAATATTCACCCGAATTCCATACGTTTGCCCTGCGCAAAACGAAATAAAACTGCATAATAATTTGATGAAATCGGAAAACAAATTAACTCTGTGTGCCCTGCAAATATGGCATTTAATTCGTGAAAGTTTCCCAGAGAGCACTTCGAAAGAGGAATAATATGGTAGAATAAATATGGTTTTTATGTCCTTACTGCAGGAGACAAATTTGCTCTCCACAAATTCAATTTCTCAATATTTATCCAATGGTTTGGTTTATGAAGTACCAAACAGAGGCCATAAAAAATAAAGATTTCGCATTCTGACTCTATCGAAATGCCAACAAGTGAAAATGCTTAACTTTTTCCATATTAAAATAGCACACTTTTAAATTTAACCCTTTGTAATTCAGTAATAGGAGTTTTCTTTTATTTTTGAAAAGCCAGCGAGAAGTGTCTGTCAGATAATTTCATATTTGTGAGTTGAGCGACAGAGACATCAGAAACGTTTTTCCTTTTCGAAAACCCTTGCTGATGGCAATCTTTAAATAAAATTTCCTCACCTTTACCTTTTTCGGGTTTCCTTTTCTCCCTCAAATTAAATAAACTGTTCTTTTAACCGCCAACAAGCGATAGCCAGCGGAGTGGGAAAGTGAAAACACATTTATCTCGATTTTCACGCTGTCAGCAGCAACTCAAAAAGGCGACAGTTTGTGAAAAAAAAGCACAAAATAAATAAAACAAAAACCGACAAAAATATATATAAAAAAGGCGGCAGGGACCAAAGCAAACCGAACCCTGCACAAAGTCAATTTCAAGATTTATTTTTCGCAATTTAACATTTCTGTTACGCCTGTCAGCCGGGAAAACAAAACAAAAGCCAAGGAAAAACAAACCGAAAACCGAAAACCGAAAACCGCCGAAAAACCAAAAGAAAAGTCCTGCGGGCCAAGGTGTGGGGCGGCCAAGCAGAAGGTGAATGCGGTTAAGAAAATAATAATAAATTAAAAGCCTGTGCCCCTCAGCCGAAAGGTCAAATTATTTCAATAACACAAAAAAAAAGGAACAAATCTTTGTCCTTACGCGATTTGGAATTGTAATGAAATGCCCAGGGCACTGGGAAGGAATGGAAATGGTGAAATCTCAAACAGTCGACATGAAAATACCCGGGGAAATGTTTTCCAAAGAATTCATAAAGGTCTTCAAGTCATCAAGACCCTTAGAAATCAGCTTAAAGTGAAACTGACAAGCTCGAAATTTGATCGAAACTGAACAGAAAATCAGTTTATTGAAGCTTAACTAGCCGGAGGAAGCCTACATATCTTAAGGTATGAATTATTGACTGATTAGGTAGAGGATTACTTATTTTAAAACACACAGAAGTTATTTTGTAATTTTTAAAAATATTTTAACCACTTTGTTACATGAAATCGAAAGCCCTGGCGAGCTTATATACCCTTCTGGCCGAGACGGCGAGGCCAAAGGACAAGTTAAAAATTCTGTTGTCGATGCTTTTTAAGTATTTTCAATTTCGGCAGTCAAGATGGAACTTGCCACGCCCCCCAACCCCCCGCCCACTGTTTTTGTACTCGAATTTATTTGACCCCGAGGGTCAATATGCAGAGAGAGGTCGCGTCCAAATGCCGAAAAGCAGCGCGAAATTCGTGTATGTTCCCCCGCGAAAGTAATCAGCAAGCAAATGCGCCCCTCCTCTCCCTCCGCCCTTTCCCCTCTACTTTTTTTCATTAATAATAAATTAGGAGCACACCGGAAACGGAAATGCGCGTTGGCAGCCCGCCCAGAGCTAACTTTATTAGTTTCTTTTTGGCCGCTTTTTGCCCGGGGAATATGCGGCATTAGGAAGAATTCATTTTTGCATTTTTCAAGAATTAAATTCCACAGATTCTGCCCTTGGTGTTTGCTAAACGAGTGTATATATACTATATACATATTCTTTTCGGGTCTCCTCTGTCTTTGTGCTCACATGGGAATCCAATTAAATGCTCTGCTAATCCACAGAAAAGTGGGGAAAATCACAGAAAATCTGCGCTCGCTCGCTTTTGCTGTCGGCTGCTTAAGTCAATAGAGTAGTAAATGAAGCCTCAGTCTTATCAGCCAACTGAACGCCAGCTGTACACTGTGAGAAAAGTGATTTGAATATTAAAATATTAAAATAAGTAAAGGGAATGATTTACACTTACAAATTACTGTTTACAATGATAGAATGTATTAATTATTAGTTAAAAGTCTTAGAAAGTTGCAAAGATCATAACTAAGCACAGTTTTCTCCCTGTGTAAATCACAATCTCCGTTTCTCTGGTTAGTCACAGCTTAAAAGCTTGGCTAATAAAAACTGGAATTATGCGAGAGTGTGTGCCAGAAGATGGAGCAGATACATAGATGTAGATGGGAACTCGGAGGCGAATTGAAGATGAAAACTCAGACAGAGAAGGAAATGGAAATGGATATGGAGGGGGAAAAGGAAAGGGAAAGGGAGAGGGAAAGGGAGAGGGAAAGGGAGATGGGTAACCTCCCTGTTGCTGGGGGCAATTAAACGATAAGCTTAATCTGCGTTGTCAATTCACACAAAATGCGTAAAGTCGTCAGTCGAGGAGGATTTCAATTAGCCGGCACAAAAATTCCAACCATCCTGGCAGCACTATCCTTTGCGCATATTTCATGGCCCACAGACACTCACGCACACCCATACACCACACACTATATAGGTATACGTATACTATATAGTGAAGAGTCGGAAAAGCGGAAAAGTGGGTGGGCCACTAAGTGCGGCCAATTAGCACAAAGACTGGGGAAAGTGTTTCCGTTTAGCAGATGAGAAAAGCGAGCACCTCTCAAGTGACAATTTGCTTAGCGCTTCAATTTGGATGCGAGCCGAGGGCCAAGTGGTGAGGTGGAAAAGTATGGAAAAGAGGGGGAGGGGGCTGGAGGACGGCAAAGCAATGGTGGCAGTTGGTGACCTCGACCAAGAATAACCCACATTCCACCGCATCGTGGCACTACAAAAAACGTCACAATATTCGTGTCAACATAATACATTTTTTTCGGTTTTTCGTATAACCAGCATTGTGAGGGACTTTGAGAGATTCCGTCTTAAAACTTAAAACGCACCTTCGAATTACTCTAGAATTTCAGGTTTCTGATCATACTATCCTTCTATACTTCTATCATACTAAATGATAGTATTTTCGTCATCAATATCTGAATAGGGAAAGATTCTTCTATTGGAAAAGTTGAACCGGTGTATCTCTCTATGTCTATACTCATCTAACAAGAAACGTAAAAGCAGAAAAACTAAGTTAAGTTTTCGCTTAAGTCTAAAGTTTTGGAATCACCTGTTAAGGTATTACAAAGAACACTGTGAAAATGCAAGAATCTGTAGATACCCTGGAGAGTGTATTGCTAAAGATACCTCTGTAATGATTTCAAATCCTTTCTCTTGATTCCTGTGAATCTTCGTTACTTTGAGATAGCTTACTTAAGGGTATAATAAAACACATTTAACACCGATCATATCTCATGTATATATTTACTTACAGGGTTCTATCACGCAAACTAAAGCCACATCTTGTTGCCGACACCGTTAAGCAGTATATAAGTCGGGCCCAACGCACAACCAAAAAGGGTTCTCAAGAGCAGCAAAATATGGAGTTTTTACGCGGCGTCTATGCGTTTATGCAAGTGAGTAGATCATCGGTGAGTGTCCACTTCCTTTATAACAACCGTACTAATCCATGTGAACTTGCTCTACTTTTATACCGCCTTTGGTTGATTGATTGATTATACCATACCATACTCTACTCTACTACTACAACTCAACTCGAACTCAAACTCGAAATCAAATCAATTATATCCCCAAAAACCAAATCGATTTGAGTCACATAAAAAAAAAAAACAAAACAAAACAAAAAAAACCGCAAAACAAAAATGCAAAGCAAAAGCGAAAGCGAAAATCAAATATGTTACTACCTTCTACTACCTATTTATTTATACTACTACTCTACTACTACTACTACTACTACCACTCTTATAAGCGTAACTAATGAGCCAACCAAATATTAAATACTAAATGCGAAATGCGAAAGACAAATGTGCCGAGAGTATCAAATCTGTATCTTACACTATATACTACCGACCCCACAAGAATATATATATAAAAACCGATTCCTCCCATGTGTAAACTTCGGAACTCGACAGATTGCCTGTGGACCGTCGTAATTTGGTGGGACTACCCCATATAATCATCGTCGAGTAACAATGCAAAAAGATATACCAAGTCCAGACCATTCCATTCCAGCCAAAAGTAATACTCGTCCCACCACTTTACTTTTACTTCCCCAACCCCCAACCCCCAACCTCCACCCCACCACTCATTTCGTTTGTGTTTTCAGTTTAGAGGCCGTGACTTTTTAACCATTGCCATTCCATATAACCCGGCCCGGCCCCTAGATGATAACAATAAAGCGAAATGCAAATAAAAGTAACAAGAACCAGAATAACAATACTCGTAATAATGTACTTACCGTGAGCACATTCCTTCAAAAGATCACAACAAAAGACAAACAAAAAAAAATGAAAAAAAAAAGAAAAAGAAACAAAAAAACAAACAACAAAAAAACCAAATGAACATTCACAAGAAAAGGTCATCAAAATCCAGAGAAAAAGAACGCAGAAAAATGAAATTAATATGCAAGACATTCATCAAGTAGGATTTTCAACATGAAAAACCATCGGCGGGACAAAAGATAATGACGTCTCTTTCTCGCCCCGTCTATTGCCGTCTCTTTCGAACGTGGCAAATTCTCCATTCAGACCCATTTCTGAGCCCATTGTCCATTAATAACCATTGTCCATCCAACATTCCCATCGCTCTATCTTTATCTCTCTCTCTCTCTCGGACTATCTCTCTATCTCTCTTTCCAACACACACACACAAAATATACATGTCTCTGTCTCTATCTTTTTCTACCTATATCTCTGTCTCTCTCTATCTCTCTATCTCTGTCTCTGCCACTCTGTTTGCCTCTCTTTCTGTGTTAAACTTTTGATTTTTGTTCGTAATCGGCTGTGTAATTGATTGATTAGCTTATATGTTTTGGAGTCTATGAATATATTACCGTAAATGTTACTATAACTCTATGTCTGTCTCCCTCTCGCTGTTTGTGTGTTTGTTTGTGTTGTCTTTTAAGCAAAATTATTATAATTTTTTAGTTAAGCTCCTATCTATAGAACTCCCAAAATGTGTGCGTGTTTAACCCCCAAAACTAAAGCCAACGAACACAGACACTCTCACACGACTCTTAACCCCCTGAAAGCCCCTTGCTCCGAAGAAGTTTTATAGGGCTTAGCGACGATCTATGTACATAATTAAAACCCAAACAAAATGCTTTATATATTCTATACCGAACGAACCTCTAAAACCTCGAAACGAAACCAACTTAAAATCGAATGTGCCGCAACGTGAAGGTCGACTACAGTGGAAACGGATACGGAAACGGCAGCGGCGGCTATGAGGCAACCCTGACAACCCTGCCAAGCGACAACTTAGAGCCGGCAGCGCTAACCGGAAGCGGAATCAACGTCAGATCGATAACCGATAACGACAAGGAGGCCGAGGCAGCAGCAGCAGCAGCAGCAGCAACAGCAACAGGAACAGCAACAGCAACAGCTGGGAAAGACGAAGTACTTTGGCCACACTCGATAGACAACTGCAGCAACACTAGCAGTACCATTAGCAGTACCAGTCACAGTACCAGTACCAGCTCCAGTTCCAGATCAGATCCTGCCCAGAAGAGACGGTTACCTGGTACGAAACTATCGACGAACAAACCCAGAGACAGTTGAGAGTGCGGCAGTAATAATGGGCATCGGTGCCAGATGCGGTGAAATACGAGCAAGAACTATGAACTACGATCGAATAATGCTAACGAATGTGATAACTCGTATGTACATATAGCCACGTATATATCCAAGTATATAACAAAACATATTTACAAGCGAACTGCAAAACCAAAACACAAAAACAAAAATCAAATCAAAACAAAACGTGAAGCGCGATAACTTAGCACCACAGAGCAAATAAGCATAAAATATGTAAAAACCAAAAATCAAAAAATATCTTATCGTAAAATCAAATGAAAACAGGGCAACTCGTGAAAAGGTGGCCTTAGATTGTGCGACTGAACAACCAAACCGAATCAAATCAATTCATCGATTAATGATTACCGATAAGCAATAATCCGATCAACGAATCAGCGATCAATCGAATTAATAGCGATATCCCGAAATCGAAATCGAAATCGAAATCAAAAGCGATCTCAACGCAAGCGGCAGCGGCGGCGGCGATAACAATTATCGATAGCCGATAGACTGGCTCTGAACCACTGCTGGCGGTGTGTGTGTGTGTGTGCGCGTGTGTGTGCGGTGCCGCCCACGCCCATCCATCCCCACCCCCCCGCCAAGAGCAAAGTGATAGAAAATGGTAATTACAAATCAAGCAATTCTAGTTCTCATTTTAAAAACTCACAACCCACTCTCCACCCGCTCCCCCGAAACTATTGAAAGTATCGAACCCCAGCTCGGTTTCTCTATCGAACTCCCTCAATAGGGACCTATCGCTCTCTATCCCCCGTCTCTCAGTCAATCTCACCAGTCCTGCCCGTTCGTTCCGTCTCTTTCTCTATTTGCCACTCTCCCTTTCTTTCTTTAAATGTACACTTGATCTGTGCCTTCTTTTTGCTTATAAATATTGCATATATATAAATAAATTGTTATACCGTAGTTGATTAGCTCAAATTGTGGTCTTTGATTTATCGTTTTGATTGTTATCGTTAATGGATTTTGATTTGATTCCCAAAACCCAGTGTTAGCTGGCATCTTTTCAGTTCAGTTCACTATTCCTTAACTTTGCTTTGGCTTTGTCAACTCTATCCGTCCCCTTCTATATTTCTATTTGTCTCTTTCCTTTATTTTTTAGCGTTTTTTCAAAGTAGAGCGCGATTACAGGATTCCAGATTAAAGAACAGTTAGACCCAGAACAGAAACAGAACAAATCAGGGGATGCAAATTCCATAAGAACGATAATCGATATTTTATCAAAAACGCAGCCGCACCGCGCCAAAGCAAAAAATGAAAAGAGAAAAAAAAACGATAACCAGAACCTTAACCCGACGATAACAGATTGCTCGCCTGCCACCACAGATTATGCTGTCGACGTCTACGTACAAATTAATAATATAACAATTTTTTATCACGAATAAAACATGAAAAGCTTAAGCTGAAAACCAAATCAAATTTAATACAAAATGAAGTTTGTATCGATTTCTCCGCCCTAACCCTACTTGTGCCTCCTTCTCTCTCTCTCTCTCTCTCTATATATATATATATATCTCGATAACTCTCTGTCTCTCTTTAGTAACTCTGACACCCACACAGTTACAGACACACATACACACGCAGACTTTGTAAAAGTATAGTAAAGTGTTGCGAGTGCCTGGCGTTAACCTATAAACAATCACGATAAATATTACGACAACGAAAAGCTGGCAAGAAATCGATGATAACGATCAGCCAAGATTCAATTTTTCAGTTGATTTCAATTATGATTTTCCACATCTATCAATAACGATGACTATTTATGCGTATGTAACTAATTAAGTAGGTCAACCAAATGCATTCGAAGCAATCGATAACTGTACCCAAATGCTATCGCAGGGAAGAAGGATGCAAGGAATCCGATGAGACTGAAAGTCTGAAAGCCAAAGATAGCCCTTTAAATAGCTCTATTGCCGCGTATATGGTGTTCTGTGTAAATATATATATTTTGACAAAATCGAACGCGACTAAAGCCCGAAAGATAACGAAACGAAACACATAAAAGCAAACTTGAAATTGAGCAAACTTGAAAAAATCCTTCTCATGTGGAACAATTATCGCCAAGAACCAAAAACAAAACCCCTCTGTATCTCTCTCTCTCTCTCTCTCTATTTGCCGCTCTCTCCGTCTCTTTCTATTTCTCTATTTATCTCTATATCTCTGAGTCCAGATAGTCCCTGTACCACCTGAAGTCTAGATAAGAAACCTTAACCTTACTTGAAATTCGAAAAAAAAATCAAATAAAATAACCCTATAATTCCAAAACGAAATTTTCTTGATTTCCACACCGCGCACGCCCCGAAATAAGCTTTTGATTTCTGATGATCTTTTGTTCCTGTAACGCCCTCAATTTTTTCACCAGCTCCCCGTTCTTTCTGCTGCCCCGCCCCAATCAAGTAGTTAAAGCCCCTAAAACGACCCTCCTACAATACCAAAAACCAATACCAAAAGAACCCAAAATCCCCAAAAAAAAAAAAAAAAAAACTACAACTTGCACGTGTCTTAAGCCGTAAACTGTACGCAACAACTCAATCAATTGCAGTCTCTTGTGTTCTATAATATGCATACTCGTATCTATATCCATAATGCTACTCGTACTGTACCAAAACTGTATCATTTGTTGTATTGTTTGCCGGATATCCCCGTAGTAACTTGAGCGTAACGTACACGGAAATGTTTCGATCGGCAGATCTCAGCAAGCAAGCAAGCAAGCAGTGATAATACCCAACCATATACGTAACGTATCGTAATCAATCAATATCCAATCAATATCTCGTATTGCGGCATTTGTGGTATTGTATCCGTATTCGTAATATCAAGTG